AATAACCCAAAAAGATCATGTACGAATAGTTCAGTGACCTATGATATATTTTACCCAATAATAATGAAATGAAAAGAAAGTAGCGGTAACGCTCTAAAAAGGCGCGTAAGGTAACGTAACCTGGCTGTTATTATTATTACATTCCTTACCATTGAACGTCCCATGCAAGAAAACACCCTGGACTTTCTCTTCGTTATTCACAGTCTCCAAGTAACGCAAAAGAAATCAAATTCGAAAATCGTAACGCTGTTTTCTAGAAAAGTCTCAATTTTTCCACTGGAAACCATTGGCTTTCGATTTTGAAATTCAGTGAATCATTGCTGAGGTAATAGCTCCGGGAGGAGGATCAATGGCGGTTCCAACGGCGGTGACGTTAATGGCGTCGATGGTTTCGTTGTACGTCGGGGATTTGCATCCCGATATCACTGACGGGACACTCTTCGATGCTTTCAATTCGTTCAAAGGAATATCCTCTGTTCGTGTTTGTAGAGATTCATCCACGTGAAGGTCTCTTTGTTATGGCTATCTTAACTTCAGTTCTCTTGAGGATGGTGCGTAAGATTTTTTTTTAAATAATTTTTTCAATATATTCACTGCTTTTCGTTTGATTTCTGTTTCTTGTTTGATCTTCCAATAAGTTCTGAGAGTGTTCGACAAAAGTAATTTAAGAAAATTCAGTCTTTTTGAGTTAACTTTTATGTATGTTCATGTTTCTCTGCTATGATATGACCAGCACATTATGCAATGGAGAAGATGAATCGCAGTTCGATTCATGGGAAAATGATTAGGGTGGCATGGTCACTTCGAGATCCTGATGCAAGAAAGAGTGGAGTTGGAAACGTGTTTGTCAAGGTACAAAACAAACCCTTTTTGTTCTTTTAACTGATATAATCTGAAATCCATTGGATTTATTGTATTTTTCTTTTCAGAATCTAAGTGAATCAATCGATAGTGTGGGGTTGCAAGAGTTGTTTCAGAGGTTTGGGAATGTAATATCCTGCAAAGCTGCAACATTTGAGGATGGGAAAAGCAAATGTTATAGATTTGTTCAATTTGAATCTGAAGAATCTGCAACTGCTGCTATTGAGAAGCTTGATAACAGCATGATTGGTGATAAACAAGTGTAATATGAATTTTCCTTTAAAATATTTTTCGTTTCACTTATCTGCTAATGAAATGAATGGTTTCAGAAGTTTAATTTGTCTCTTTGGTCCCAGATTTGTTGGGAAATTTATGAAAACGTGTGACAGGATTTTGCCAAGTCCTGATGTAAATATACAAATCTGTATATTTTACAAGGGAAAATTGCCTCCCTGGCTGTAGCAAGGGATGAAAATGGTGCCTCGAGAGGTTTCGGCTTTGTGAACTTCGAATGTCCCGATGATGCCAAGCGGGGGCAATGCAGTCAATGAAAGGATCAAAACTTGGTAGGCTTTCTTTTACTATGTTTCACGAACATGATATTTCAATGATATTTTTTCTGATCCAATATTTTTGGCCAAATATATTAAATCATAATTCAAAGAAAAATATAAATTCAATTAAAATCAAATCATTAGAATCATTTCTAATTTTCTCAAATGTGTATTCAATGGCCGCAATGCAATCATAAGTTCTTGTTGGCCTAGGAGGAGGATGCTGAAGGTGGTGACATTTTCTTTGACCGGAGCAAAGTAGAAGACGATGGCAGTGAGTATGGCAATACATTATTGTTTTTAAATCTACAATACTACAATTCCGGGAAGAACCACAAATCGAATCATTAATCTGATATCAAACGTGAAGCTAATTAGATTTGCTTTGCTTTTGCTGTTTTGTAATTCACCATCATTGTATTATTAGGGAAACCACGGTAGATGCTGGGCATCTTTCTTTTATGATTTCTACACAGTGAGTTGTGAAGTAGCTTCGAAATTTAAGTGCAAATTTGATTTTAATTTCAACCATTTTGAAGGTTTTAATTATGTTTTTTCAGCTGTAGGTACTGGTTGATCATGGCTTGAACTGAACTTACTTCCTTAGGCTTGTAAAGTTATTATCCATTCCTCTGGCTGCAATTACTCAGATGACTTTGGAAATCAAAGTTTACCTTCTTCTCCATAAAGCAATGACTGGGACAGTCTATCATAATTAATGTTTAATTGACAAGTCTCCCTCTATCATTTTTCTTATACAAGAAGTTAATGTTCTCTTAATATATATAGATTGATTGATGTGAAACGTAGAAAGTGATGGGAAGTAGAGCAAGTATGACATGACTCGGTTATGGGGAAAAAATATCAACCATAGAAGCTAGCCCCGACTATACGCATTAAACTAAAGCGTGGAAAATGCAAATCATAGCCAGTACCCACATGACTTCGAAAGAAAACTTGGACCAATTGACGGAAGATAGATATCAGAGTTTGAGAACTATTATTTCTTGTTGATGAACAAAGCCTTCTCAAATCTATAACCCCAAAATTTTCCTTCTCATAATTCATCATGTTATTGTTACCTTCAACTTTATCATGTATTTCTAGAAAGAAATATGATATTTTCTTGAGTTTTAGAGGTGAAGATACCCGCAAAAACTTCACAGATCATCTCTATGATGCTCTAAATCGAAGTGGAATTATCACTTTCAGGGATGATCCAAAGATGGATGCCGGTGAAGAGATCGCACCACAACTCTTCCGAGCCATTCAACAATCGTGGTGCTCGGTAATTGTATTCTCAGGAACCTATGTCTTTTCAAGTTGGTGCTTGGAGGAGCTTGCTGAGATTGTTAAACAAAAAAACGAGAAAGGATATAAAGTGTATACAATTTTCTACGATGTGAATATATCTGATTTAAGAAAACAGAAAGAAAAAGTTGAAGAAGCATTTGCCAAACATGCAGAGAGATACAAGGAAGATAAAGAAAAGATTCTAAGGTGGCGAAATGCTTTGACTCAAGTGGCTAACATCAAAGGATGGCATTTAAATAACAGGTAAACCATTCTTTTCTTTCCTGTTTTCTTGTTTAATTAATTTAATAATTATAAAAATGAACTGAATTTTATTTCTTTGCAGGCATGAATCAGATTTTATTGGAGATATTGTTAGAAAAATATCAGCAAAATTATGTCAAACATATCCAATTGTTCATGATGAGTTGGTTGGAATTAGTTCACGCTTGGAGAAGTTGCATTCCAAAATAGAGATTGGGGAAGATGACATCCGCATCATAGGAATTTGCGGAATGGGTGGCATCGGTAAAACAACTCTCACAAGAGTTGTTTACGACCAAATGTCATCTCATTTTGAAGGTAAATGCTTCATTGCCGACGTTCGAGAAGTTTCAGACAAATTTGGACTCGTTTCTCTACAGAAACAACTTCTTTTCCAGATCTTGTCTGGTGAAGTCTTCGAATTTTTCAATGTTCATGAAGGGAATGCCATAATTAGCCGCAGATTATCTAACAAAAAGGTCCTTGTTGTGATTGATGATGTGGATAATTTACAGCACTTGAAATGCTTGGTTGGAAGGCATAATTGGTTCGGTTTAGGAAGTAGAATCATTATAACAACAAGAGATGAACACTTGCTCCAATCTTACCGAGTAGATGGTGTGTATAAGCCTTCAACATTGAATGACAGAGAGGCACTTCAACTTTTCAGTTTGAAAGCTTTTGATAGTGAGACAGCACCAAATGATGTTTTCATTGAGCTTTCTGAACATGTTGCAAAATATGCCAGTGGTCTCCCCTTAGCTCTTGAAGTGTTGGGTTCTTTTTTGCGCGGTAGAGACGTAGCTCAATGGAGAAGTGCAATCCATAGACTTGAAAAGGATTCTAACAAAGAGATTATTGACAGACTTCGAATTAGCTTTGATGGATTGGAAGAAACGGAGAAGAACATATTTCTAGATATAGCATGCTTCTTCAATGGGGACGAGAAAGATTTTGTAATGAAAGTATTGGATGGCTGTGAGTTTTTCCCGGATATCGGAATCGATGTTCTCATTAAGAAGTCTCTACTAACAGTTGACGAAAACAACAAATTGTGTATGCATAACTTACTACAAGAAATGGGAAGAAAAATTGTTCGGGAAAAATCTATTGAGGAGCCTGGAAAACGTTGTAGATTGTGGGAGGAAAAGGATGTATATCCTGTGTTAACGAAGAACACCGTAAGTTATTCGTTGGAAATTGCATATTATATTAATGTTAAAGACAGAAATGATACACACAGTGTAATTTTTCACAAGTTTTATCACAGAAATTGCCTCATTTTATTTTGTGTTTCTTATGTATTACTTTTGAATTTTTTAGGCTACGGAAGCGATTCAAGGCATGATCATTGACAATAAAAGGTAGCAAAACTTACATAAACATGCATCCATGTGTAAATTTCAAATTCGGTCAAAAGTGACCCTTAAAGTTTTATTATATCACTGTACTCAAATTACACCATTCCTCGTTGAGTTATACTCTCTTTTTTATTTTTCTCACTGTACTTTTAGTTTTTCTAATTTATTTTGAAAATCCTTGAAGAATCATCGCTATGTTTCTATTCGGATGTGTGGGATACGAGTGCTTGACGGAGCATAGATAAATTAAGTGTTGGAGCAGCCTTGGTTTTAGGTATGAAACGCTTTGGGATATTTTCAAATTTGAACTGAATTTTCGTTGTTTTACCCTTCGTTATCAGGATATCCAACAAGATGCTCAATTTGAATGTTAATGTTGTCTCGAAGATGAAAAAGTTGAGATTGCTCAAAGTCCTTTGCCTCTCAAATTGTGATGAACTCAAATATCTTCCTAATGAGTTACGGCTCTTAGATTCGATGGGATATCCTTTAAGATTCTTACCTCCAAGCTTCCAACCAGACAACCTGGTTGCACTTCTGCTACCATACAGTCGCATTGAACAACTATGGAGGGGAAATATAGTAAGAACTAATTCATATGATCATTGTTTTTTAACTTATTTTAGGAATATTAACTAAATCTTCTCTAATTTATTATTATTTTCAGCATCCCCTGTATAAGTTGAAAGTGCTCAACCTCAAAGGGTCCAAAAACCTGATCGAGACACCGGACTTTACAATAGCCCCAAATCTGGAAATTTTGATATTGGAAGGTTGTACAAGAATAGTAGATGTTCATCCATCAGTCGGAGTTCTTTCGAGGCTTAAACTTCTGAATTTAAGAAGCTGCACAAGTCTTAGGAATCTTCCAACCAGAATTGGAATAGAATCTCTTGAAACATTAATCCTAAAAGATTGTAGAAACCTTATTAGTCTCCCAAGCAGCATAGGTGGGTGTAAATGTCTAAAAACTCTTGATCTTTCAGGTTGCTATGAAGTTGAAAATTTGCCGGAGAATTTGCAGCAAGTAGAGTTGTTGGAAGAGCTTGACTTAAGTGGAACTGCCATAGCAAAACCGCCATCCTTCATTTTTCAACTTAAAAATCTTAGAGTTTTGTCTTTGAATAGGCTCAAGACACCATCATCTAAGTTAGCACCAAATCTACCTTCTCTTTTCCAGGTATTCCAAAGAGGACGGATCGAGTCTGTGCCTCTTATGTTACATTCATTGTCAGGTTTGATTTCATTAAGAGAGCTGAAACTTAGGAGCTGCAATCTTCGTGAAGGAGATATTCCAAGTGATATTTATTGTTTACACTATTTGGAAAAGCTTGAGCTTGGTGGTAACAATTTCATCAGAGTACCTGTGTCTGGTGTTAGATTTCCCAGTCTTCAATATCTTGGATTGTCAAATTGCAGGGAGCTTAAATCGTTTCCTAGTCTTGGTGCTTCTCGAGAACTATTTGCAGCTCCATCAAAGGTTTGCAATGCAGTGGATTGGACACGGTTTAATGAACTTCACTGCTACAGATTGGTTGAGAATATCAATGCAATAACAATGCTGAAATTCTATCTTAAGGTCGATTTATCATTCTTTCGTATTTTGCAGCAAGTTGCATATTTAAAAAAAAGTTTTGATGGTGTTATACCTGGAGGTGAAATACCAAAATGGTTCAGTCATCAAACAGTTGGCTCTTCAATCAAGATACCACTGCCTAACAATATTCAGAATGATAGTCAATGGATCGGAGTTGCTTTCTGCTGCATTTTTGTCAATGATGATGCTTCAAGGGATGAGGAACTCACATGTGATGCTGTTATCCATCATATGAATTCTGGACAAGCTGATTCTGATGGATCTGGTTTTCGGGGTAGAAATCCTCGACGTGTCTCAGGGGACGGATGGATTTTTTCTAAAGAATATAACCAGCCCATAATAAAGGACCACCTTTATTGTTGTTTTTTGTTCCGTGAAAGATTATATCCATTTTCCTTAGAGGATAAATGTGGTGAAAGTGAAACTGAGAACTCATCAACATTGGATTGCTCAAATCAGGAATTCGATGAACTCCAGTTTTCAGTCACATCCGATGATAGTCACATAAGTGTTAAGGTGAAGAAATGTGGGCTTCGAATAGTTTATCAGAAAGATTTGGAAGATATCAATGAAGATTCCGCCGCAGATGGATCAATAGCTGAAGGTCCACTTATAAAGCGGAGACATAATGTTTATGAAGAGACCGAGGCCGAGCCACAACCAAAAAGGATACACAAGTTTTTCAATTTATGATGGGCCGACCGGGGAAGAAGGATTAGTTACTGTTTGATTTTATTAAAGACTCACCAGCTGATGATGAGGACTGTAGACACCCGTTTTTGTCCGGGTCTTTTCTATCTAATTTTAATTATTATTATTATTGTTATTATTATTATGTTTATTAATTATTATTATTATTATTTTTGCAGGCCAATTTTTGAGGCCCAGTACATCAACCCAGTCAGCCCAGCGTCCAGGATCAGACCCATCTGCTGACCCAAACCCAGCCCGACTCAGCAACCTTAGACATTAGGGTTTCATCTTCTCTTACCCAGCGCCGCATCATTCAGACCGTTAGATCTGGACCGATCCAACGGTCTAGATCAAGAGCTATTTAGGGTCTGAAACCCTAACCATAGTTCTGAGCCCTAACGTTGGCCGCCGCCTGTATCCTCTGCTGCCGCCGACTGCTCCCACCTGCGCCAACAGTAACCCCATCAGTTCCAAATCAAACCAATCAAAGGAAATAGTAAACAAATCAAAACTCTAAATTTAAAATACCTAAATCAATCCGAAAATGTCATCTACAGTTCAAATCTCACCAAATCTGAAAACCCATTAAAAAAGTCCTAAATCCCTAAATATTTGGCTTTTGGTACTAACCCGAGCCTAGGAACATGATTCCTATCAAATGGAGATGATGATTCTCAGCCAAAGATATAAAAAAAGATACATGCAATGACAGGGGATTCATTTGGGGGGGGTTTCCAGAAAAAAAAAAGAAAAGAAAAAAAGAGAGTCAAACGAAAAGGGGAACCAACAGCAAAAAGGAAGAATAGAGAGAGAGGAGATCTCACCGTGGGTTCAAAGCCGGTTGGGAACACCAAGAGCCGCCGGATTTCAAAGACATCGAGAGGTAAAGACCTTAGATCTAGTGGGTTAGGGTGGATTCTAGGTGAGACGGGGTGAGGTTCTGAGTTTAGGGAGATGAGAGGATGATTTTGGGGGTCTTTGGCCTTCTCCGGCCACCGTGCGCCGTCGTCGGCCACGCCGTGGGCGCCTCCGGCCACCGTGGTCTTTCTCTCTTCATTTGAGAGAATTGAGAGAGTTTAAGTTTCTCTCTCTCTGTTTGCTGAAGGATGAGAGAAATGAGGGAGATGAGAGTTGAAGCCTCATTTTGGGCTTAAGCACTCGGGCCAGAACGGTGCCGTTTTGGCACTGTTCAAAACGACGTCGTTTAGAGGGGTCAGGGCATGCGTGTTATCAGCGTGTGGGTTAACTACACGATTAGTCCCCCGGGCTTTGTAATATTTTTGTTTAATCATGATGAAATGTTTTGCTTTATTCTATTTTAAGCACTTATTTTTCTATATTTATTTGTTAGTCCTATTAGTATGGTTATATTATTTTTGTAAATGTTTAATTCGGGGAACAATGTTTGTAATTATTTCATTTTGGTTACTGATCTAGTGTCTTGTGTATTGTTATGGATATTTGAATTTGGACATAATATTTTTAATTTTATTATTTTAGTCATTATTTACTATATAAAATAAATACATGTTTTATTTATGTTTATAATCCCTGTACTTTGATTCTGAATGTGTTTTGGTCAATGCTTTTATATATTGGGTTAAATACTAATATGGCTTGCCTGTTTTACTTTCATTTTATTTTAGTCCTTAATAATATTTGTGGGTTATTTTGGTTTCTAGTACTTGTATTTTAATGTTATATTTGGGCTCTGTTTGTCTCGTAATTACTGTTTAGTCCTTTAAATTTATGTTTTTCTTATTTTAGCCCCTAAGTTTACGTAATTACTATTTTAGTCCTCCAATTTTGTTATTTTTGTTGTTTTAGCTCTTTAAGTTGTTATTATTACCATGTTAGTCATTGTTATTATAAATATTTATTTTTGATCATTTTATTTGGTAATTTTAATATTGATTTGTGTTTATGTCAATTCCTTTTGTATGTACTTATTTTTATGTTATGTATTTATTTATATCATATGTGAATTAATATGTTCAACTTTATTTGTTATAAATATTTTGTTTCGCATATTTATATTGGCTTACATTGTATTTCTTTATTTAAATATTGCGAATATTTTCAAGAGAATCGATTTATAGAATGGGCGTGGAAAGCACCACTTGATCGAAGTGATGTAATCCAATATGACATTCAAACCAAATGCGAACTTGAAATAAATCAATTGTATTTTGCTAATTATTAATTCATTTCATTTTAAGTTGAACATTGCAATGAATGTCTCTTAATAATAGTTTATTTCATTTCATGCAAATTATCGATATTCATTCTACATTTTATATTCGATTCATTTTTAGTTAATCAATTTATTTTGTTGTATGTAAACATCGATTTTTCTATATTCAATTCGCATTTTAAATAAATGATGAGGGAATATTCTTTTATTGATAAGAAATAGACGAGTTAGCTTTCCCGATGGAGGATTGCTAATTTCGAGATTTCTTTTCGAGTTAAAGAATTTTCTCTATTTATTTAATTCGAAGCAAATTAATCAACGTTCGATAAATAGATCATATTTTAACCTTATATTTGATTTATAATTTCCACCATTTACAACGATGTGTAAGCGACACAGTACCAGTTTTTGGGCGTTGTGGGAGTGTTTACCCTTCCCCGCACGTAACCGACTCCCGAATCCATTTAAATGAATCTTTGGTAACGCAGACCGAATCTTGTCTTAAAAAATGATTTTTCTTAAAATTGTTTTAAAAGACGTTTTTAGGTATTCAACCTACCTAACACAAAGGTTGATGGCGACTCTATTCAATTTAATCCAAATTAATCCAAAATACTCAATTTTTCAAAATAAAAGTCATAATCGTTTTAAAAATAATATTTAATTGTTTTATAAAAAATGGTTATGACAGCTTGGCGACTCCGCTGGGGACATCTTTTTTAGAGAGTCAAGCTGTAGGTCGCTTACACATTGTCGTCTTAGTGGAGATCATAAGTTTGAGTACATAGTTAACTTATGATCCGTTTATTGAAATTTTTAATTGCTTCATTTTTAATTATCATACTAACATTTTATCTTTTTTGCTTTCAGCTCTGTCCAAGTTTTTGTCGAGTTTTTTTCTTTTCATTTTGAGTCAAAGGTAGGTATGTTCCTCCTCACACACATCACTCGCATTGGCATAACATAAGCTCTAGACACGAGCTTCGATCCAAATTAATTGGGGTGAATGCTTCACTCTCGTAAGAATTTATTCTTCGTATGAGTTTTAGCAAATAACCCATGGGATACATACTTTATACCTTCGTAGGGATTTATTCCTCGTACGGGTATAAGGCAGTGAATCCCCTCGAATTGAACTCGGTCCGTTTGAAACCTGTAATGGGTAAGGATTGAGGGTCTGGCAGCCCAAGGGGGCACCGACATCAAGGACAATTCGAGTCCCTTTTTTCCGTTAGAGCCGAAACCAAGCATATAGTGAACCGTCGAACGATCACCCTAGGTATAGTCATACCGAACCTTTGTCCGTCAATAGGTACCCAAACTAGGTGTACACAAAGGAGGAGTGTTTCTAAACCCTTATCTTTTGTTTTAATTTCGTAGAATTTGTTTTCTTTTTGAATAAAAGCATGCGAACTAGATACCAGGCGGTTAGGACCAATTTTTTTTGAAATTATTCATTTTGGGTAGATAACATGTACGGGTAGGACTATTATCTATTTAAAGCATGCTCGGGTAGATATCATGATGGGTAGGTGTTATATTCATCTTTTAATAACACTTTTATCTATATCGATTGTCTTACATGTACTAACTAATTTCTTTTATTTTCTTTGTGTGCACTAACTTATTTATTTTCTGTTGTTTTTGTTTTTTTTCATTCTTCTTTACATTGCATCATCATAACATAATGCGAAAATGTTGATCAGCAAGGGGATATTCGAGAGAAAATTTTCACAAGAAGAGATAAAGGTTTTCAACCAAGCAGTCGCGTACACAGACATGCACCGAAGGCTAAAAAGAAATGCACAGAGTACGAGAAGGAGACTTGCTCAAGACGATCGTGAAACGTTCGAGACTAAAATGATGAGCCACTGATCCGATGAGTGATCCAGCAGTCGATTTTTATCTACGATCATTTCATCGCTATTTATCAAGGAGCGGCACACTGACTTCCGCACCACTGGGGCATTAACAGAGTTAGGTTACAGAATGTTTTAGGGGCATCAGTTCCAAATACAAAGATCCGAGACAAAATAGTGAGCTCGAAGATCGTGCAACATTTAAGACTGAAGTCTGGGGATTAATCCAGCATTAGATTATTATTTACGATCGTTCCGACGTTATTCATCGAAGAGTGATGCACTGACTTCAGCATCGCCGGGGCATTAAAAGAGTCTGTTTACAAAACGCTTGAGGGGCATCATTTTCAAGGATAAAGATCCAAGATGAAGCATCGACCCATTTCAGATTCAACATCTAAGAGAAGTCAAGTCTGTAAAGTGGATTGTCTTGTAATGTGAAAACTTTTATTTCTGGTGAAAATTGTTCTAAAATATTCATTGTTGGGATCCACATTTCTGCATTTGCATTTGCATCGTTGCATTTTGCATAACATTCATTTAAGCATGTTTACATGCATTAATCATACCTTGCTGGAAACTTTGAGGAAGCACTTCTAACTTGCAATTGCATTCACACAGTACTGAGAATGGATGCAAAATTTGAGGAATTAAAGAAAGAGCTGAACGAGAGTTTGCAAAAGATGCAAGTTGAGTGGGAGGTTAAAATGGAGCAGATGCAAAAGACCACCGTGGATTGTATCTTGCAAAACCAAAAAGACCTAGTTGACCAAATGGTAGCAAAGATGGCTGAGCTCAACCAAGAAAAAGGCAAAGAAAAGATTTCATTAACCCGTGAAACAGTTAAATGTGTGAAAGCACAGGCTAGTTCGCAACCAATTATTTCGCCCAACAGGATTTCTAGTCACCTAGCGACGAGAAGAGCCAAGAACGAGATCCCAGATAATTTGAAACAGTGGTG